TTTAATCAGTTTAAGGACAACCTTACTCGTGTTTGTTTAAAAATGTACAATGAAAAACTTAAAGTTACGTGTGATTGGTGGGCTAAAGTTCCGTTTTCGTAGCATAACGCATGATGGATGTTAAATATATTGCACACGATGAATATAAATTTAATCCGAAAAATATTCACACTGTTCGTATGAGTAAGTATCCAATATTACCTAATACCTATAACACTTTTAACATATGTATGCGATGGTACCCAATGTAGTAACTAGTAGATAAATTATAATACACCAAGAGAGCTGAAAAATGGATTATTGACATTGACAATATAATAAAAGTGTTGTGTGCTTTTCTTCGATAAAAAATTTTAATTTTTGTTCAAAATGGTAATACTCTTTTGATTGATGGTACTTTTTCAAGCTGTTCATCTCTATTTATTCAATATAATTGTTTGCGGTTTATGGCGTCAAAATAATATTTACATACCTACTATTATTATTATTTTTTATTGTTATTGGGGAAATCAGTTATATACTGATTAATGTTTATTGATTATGAATTTATGAACAATTTATCCACTCAGCTGTTCGTCTAGTATGGGTATGGCMAATGAGCTAAATATGAAAAGACGTCAGCTTGGTATAGTAAAATACAAGTTATTAGCCATTAGGTCTAGCTAATAAGCTAAAATATAAAATAAAATATAGGTACAGTAGTATAGTATACCTACCTACTGAGAATGTAAAGGGGAACTTTAAAAACATTTTTCGTTCAACCGTTTGCATATTTATAAATTTGTATTAATTATTATAAATATTATATTATTTTATTATACTAACTACAGATATTATATATTATAGTGATACATAAGTTATTTTATTTATTAATACTATTATAAATGCATTAAAAGTCAATACCCCTAGAGCGGCTTGAACGCGATTAACGTAGAGTGGTGTGAAAAGTTTATGGTATAATAATACCTATCTTTAAATAATAAATTAGTCTAAATACTTTTAAAAATGAATCGTGTAGAGAAAATAATATACGTATAATAGCAAATAGTTTTAAGTACTTACGTTTAAATGTATTTGAATTATAACAAAATAGTAAAATCGTTGTATTTTGTTTAAATATAGGCATCCAGTTAGATTTTTAAATAAAAATAGTGGTAAAATAAATCATTATATTTAATCATAATATCTTAACAAAATAATTTATAATAAATCATCAATAATATATTGTTATGCTATCATTGCTATCTATTCAATTGAAGTGTTTGCGATAAAAATTCCTAAAGAGTTTCCATAAGTAATGTTCGTAAAAACTATTTCCGYGGCATTTTCGGTTCCAAAACGAAAATAAAGGTGTTATTTAAGCGTAATAAATAATCAGCCAATAAGTAATAACTAACAATAGAACTGGTCAAATATTATTAGTGACAAAATACTAAATTTAAATAATTTAAAACTTAAAACCAAATTGTCTGTGTGTTGTTTGAACGAGTAGTTTCCTAATTATTAAAATATTTATGCTAAGGATATAATAGTCCTTAAAAATCGTTTACAAAWGTATAAAATACACGTAGTATTGGAACTACAGTATTTATGATACTTAGGGGTCGTTTTTACAAATTATTTATGTTGATAGATTAATATTAATGACTAATATTTTTCCGATCCTCTATGGACCACATATCCGATAAACCTAAACCATAAACCTTTTATCCTTAGAACAAAGTTAAAAAACTCAAAAACTACTCATTAGAATTTAGATTTCAATACATCAAAATTCTAAAAAAAAAATATCCGCTAAATAATTTACAGTAAAAAATTGGGATTTTCATTTGAAAAACAAAAGTTTTTATCACCACAGGACACTCCTTGATAAGTGGTACAAAAATATCAAGAATTGGAAAATATAGTCTGAGTAAATTTAAAGATTCCAATAATATCAGATTTTGAATAACTTTATTATTAAAGAAAATAAAGGAGGTAAGCATGCTTGGTGAATCACTCTGTAGTCTGTATTACCAACTAATAAGTATTCAAGTACCTACATCTATATCTACTTCATAATTCATGGTACCTATCAGGACAATTTATATTTTATAATTTATAGTATTTGTACATATATATATATATATATATATACAATATGCTTCCGTAGGTACTTACGTGATTTAATAGTTTGAATAATTGATCAAAGTTCAAATCAAACTAAAGTGTAAACTTAAATATGTCAACCCGGAATGAAATACGAATTATAGAAACCAAATTTGGTTCACAGTTGTATACTGTTTTGTATAAAGTTCTGAAGGACACCAACTTAGATATTATCAATTAAACAAAAGTATAACGATACATACATAACTACTTAAGTAGTTTATTACAAAGAAACGTGTGCGTCGTTACAACATCATATTATATTTATTAATAATGCAATATTAATTAGTCTAGTGTTGGACGAGTACTTGACTTTGGAAAAATATTCGAATCGAGTTCGATTACTCGACTCGACTCGACCAAATTTTTTATTGTACTCGTAAAGACGAATACTCGAATTGAATCGAGTACTCGCCTTGAATCAAGTACTCGACTTGAATCCAGTACTCACCTTGCCTCGAGTTCACACCTTGAATCCGTCAYTTTTTTCTTTCATATACTCGGCTTTTGTTGAGTACTTGAACTTTGAACTCGACTCGACTCAAAATTAAAAAACAATACTCGCCCAACACTATAATAATTACTTTTTAGTTATATCACGACTACAGACAGTGCATAGCCACTCCAAACACCTCCTCTTTTTAATTAATACTTTATATGGAAACCAATTCGGTCACAGATCTTCTAATGTCMAGATTAAAGAACCTAGGCATAACAAATTAATTTTGCAGGAAACACCGGACTTATGTGCAATTATAATATGCCCAAAATGTACAAAAACGTGTTGCAAMATTTTGTATTTGTTAATTGCAGTAAAATTTAATTCGATTATCTATTCTTTCGATATTACCTGAGTAAAAGTACTTTATATACATATAAGTTTCAATAGTATAGACAATAGTCAGACGTCAGTTAAGTATAATAATATGTTAGGATATGAGAAGCTATAATATATAGCATGAGATATATATWTWTTTTTTTTTATTGTGAGCTGCAGTTATTTTACCTTCCTGCGGTACCTACACGTCCGTATTGACTTAAAAGCTACCTTGTAAACTAAGTTGTAAAAAAAATATAACATGATAAACGTCATATTATATTATTATRTAATACTAGCTGACCCCGTGCACTTTGTTGTCCGCTAAAAATGCAAAATCTATACATTATAATGATTCAAAATTTATGTTCAATTCGTTATTTAWTTTTTAGATTTATAATGGTATTAATTAAAATTTTCATTGGCCATCTTRAATTTCTTCAAAATACTTGTGCAAGAACTACTTCAAAATATACTTTATTAGTGCACAACAGCATGGCGGCACATGATGGTACGAAAATATCGTAAGAATTACAAGGACACAATATATATCATTAATTTACAGGCTCTACGCGTTGATCAGTCATTTATAGTCAGTCAGAATGGCATATTCGATTATATTATATTGTTTATAATTTATAAAATTATAACAATCCCACCCAGTTATTCATTTTTTGGATAATGGTCAACTTTCAAAATTTGTTTTTCGATAAAATAATTAAATAAATAAGAAAGAATTCAAATAATTCAAATACAATATACAAAACACTGATTTTATTGAACATTTAAAAAAGCCACAAAAATATTTTAAAACTCATTACACCTTTTCAATTCTTAACAATTAAAATCTATAATAGTTGCATATAAATTATTTGTAAAAAAAATTACATAATATAACAATTCAATAATTGTACAAAAATAAATTAAATTAAAATTAATAAAATATAAATTACTTGAGATGACTTGTAACTGATTTATAATTTTGTTTTCATTAAAATTCAGGCATGTCAAATTTTTTTACACAAAATGAAACCACCTTTAAATGTTTTAATATGTACTTAACATAAAAATGTAGGTACTAAAATTTTATACATGCAAATAAATTTAATATTAAAAATATATTATTTGGTATTTCTAATAATTGATTAAAAAAAAA